GAATTGTGTCTCTCTTGTATTAGTGCCCAGAACTCTGCCTGATGCACAGTAGGGTATCAGATGTGTGCTGACTCACTCACCTGTGTAGTCTCATAGTCTCATAGCGTTGTCTTTCTTGCCCACGGTGTTCCAGGTTACCATACTGCTCTCTTTTAAAAGTGCCATGCTTTTTCTCAACTGAGGACTGTTGCACCTGCTGTTTTCTATACCCACCCCAGACCCTATGCTCACTCTCAGTTTGTGCTCATCCTTCAGAAATCAGTCACTTACTTAGAGTGGGTTTCCCTGACTCCAGTCTAGGTTAGGTTTCTCTTTAACATGTTCCCGTATCACCCTATATTTTTTTGTAACAGCCACCACACTTAAAACTATTTGTAAGCTCTGTACAGGCAAGGATCAAGTTCTTACTGCTCTCCACTTTAGCACTTAGTTTCTGGCACTCATCAGGGATGCAAGTCTTTGTGAACTGAATGAATGAACGTTGATTGAACATAAGATTGACAGGATTAAATCAGGTAAAAATGAGGAGGGTAGTTAGTACGAAGTGTAAGTTAGCTGGATCTGCTGTGCCTATTTCAGAGAAATTTTTGGTTTGTTTAAGATAGCAGATATGAAAGCATTGTATAAACTGAAGGTGCTTTATAAATATAAGATTTTTTTCCTTTTTTTTTTTTTGCTAAGGCCTAGTCAACATCCCAGATTCCTATGGTCCAATGGCCTTTCCAAGTGCAAAGCTTTCTGTTTCTTAGCAATAATTAGCCTGATTCTGTTATTTTAGAGCTATGCTCAGGTGGTAAAATATAAAGAACTGAGGCTGATATTGAGTCTAGGCCAGTTTGTCAGGTAACCACATTCTTGACACCCTTCATTCAGCTGGACTACCTTGCTGTAGCAATATATCTGAGTTTTAGTCTGGCCCTTGTTGTGTGACCTTGGCCAAATCAGATTATCTCCTCATGGCAGTATATCTTTTTATAAACCTAGTGATAATATTTTTTTCTTTTTCTTTTTAATTGTTGTGGGTACATAATAGTTGTATATCTTTTTAGGGTACATGTGATATTTTGAAACAGGCACATGATGTGAATTAATCAAGTCAGGGTAATTAAATATCCATTACCTCAGGCATTTATCATTTCTTTGTGTTAGAAACATTCCAATTCCACTCTTTTAGTTATTTTAAGGTAACTTATTGTTGATTATAGTCACTTTGTTGTGCTATCAAATATTATTCATTCTATCTAACTATATTTTTGTACCCATTAACCATCACCACTTTATCCTCTCCATCCCTGCTACCCTTCCCAGCCTCTGGTAACCATCATTCTACAATCTGTCTTCATGAGACCTTTTTTTTTAATATTTAGCTCCCACATATGAGTGACACGCAAGATTTGTCTTTCTCTGCTTAGCTTATTTCACTTAACATAATGTTCTCCAGTTCCATCCATGTTATTGCAAATGGCAGGATTTCGTTCTTTTTTGTGGCTATGTAATATTTCATTGTGTATATGTACCACGATTTCTTTATCCATTTATCCATTGATGGACACTTAGGTTGATTTCAAATCTTGGCTATTGTGAATAGGGCTACCATAAACATGGGAGTGCAGATATCTTTTCAATATACTGATTTCCCCTCATTACGATATATATGCAGCAGTGGGATTGCTTGTCATATGGTAGGTCTGTTTTTAGTTTTTTGTTTTTTTTTTGAGACAGAGTCTGGCTCTGTTGCCCGGGCTAGAGTGCCGTGGCGTCAGCCTAGCTCACAGCAACCT